TATATATATATATATATATATACATTATACATGTGCACTTACATGTATGTATCTTTTCTGACACAAGTAATAAATATTAGAATAAATTGCATAATAATTTAATTTATCTATAACAATGACACTCAAACTTGATATTTGACTATGAAATGGAAACTTCTTTTTTTTTTTTTGCAGGTGAGCAGTGATCTATTTACCCGTGGTATTGATGTTCAAGCTGTGAATGTCGTAATTAATTTCGACTTTCCGAAAATGGCAGAGACATATCTGCATAGAATCGGTCGATCTGGAAGATTTGGCCACTTAGGTATAGCAATTAATCTAATCACGTACGAGGATCGCTTCAACTTACATCGTATCGAACAAGAGCTTGGAACAGAAATTAAACCTATCCCAAAGGTGATAGATCCTAGTTTGTATGTAGCGAGACCAGAAGACAATAATAGTATGGAAGAAGGTAATGTGTCCAAGTAGTTTCGATACTCTGTTGCAAAATGAAGCTTTACAAGCGCTCAAAAAGTTTTAAGTGAGAAGAATGTGTGATTGTGACTCATTTATGTAAGGCATACATTGAGAGTGAACTCAGTTTGAAAGTGAAATTTGTCACAGTGAAGGGGTGTCTACCAGTGTATTAAAGACAAAACAGTGCTGCAAATGATTTAAGTAAAGAAGTGCTCTGTACAAACAGAAATTGAAAACTTCAATTATCATTGTATTAAAAAAGAAAAGGATGAAAGTTCACTTGTAAATAAAATATACTAAGCATGCGTAATAAGTGAGCTGAGTGATTGATGTGGCGCGTGAATGTTGGTATGAGTCATTCTTTGTATATAAATACATTTAAATGTACATAAGCTAAAGCAAATCAGAGTCAAGCCATTATCAAGATGCACAATATGTAAACAAATATGTGAATAACATAATAATCAATCATTGCATTTTATCATAATTGTAAATACTACATGCGGATACACATAACATCGTTTTAATAGAAGATTTTTATACAACAGCTTCATTCTTCCAGTATTTTTTTGCTTCTGTTTTCATCTAATACAATGAAGAAAAGGGGCATATATAATTTAGAAAAAAGAAATCGGCCAATCTCATTGAGTACAGCATACTAATCTATATGCTCATTACTTTTGTACTGTCATGCATATATATACATATAAATTGCCCTTAGACTTTAATAATCTTATACACATATAAATTGCTCTTAGCAATTTAATAAAATTTGGAATATTAAGTATCAGTTGTAATGTTTGATCATGGCTTGATTTTGCTATCTGTCAATATTGTCATACAACTCTGAAATTCAAATCACTTGTCAATGTTAAAACAATCTTTTTTTTTTCTGTGTATTTAATCTGCTTTTCTTCTTTCATTGCTAGAATTTTCTTTTCCTTTTTTCTTTTTTTTTTAATGCAATTGGATTTTCTTTTTACAGTACTGTGATTGAGAATCAGAGGTTGTACAATTGACTAGTTTTATATAATTATTTTTTATAAACAACTGGCTGGTGGACTCCATTAAACAAAGGTCCTATTCTGATGCTGATAATAACGTATATGTCTACAATCACAATCTACGTTTAATCATGCAACAGCATTCTATCGAGACTGAGATTTAACAAACAAATTTCAAGGATTAATTGCTGAAATTATATAATGAGTAATGCAAAATAGAGTGAATGTAGACACATGAAACTAAGCATACATGCTAAATCATATGCAATGTACAAATAGGGTGCATCACTATTATATTGTATCTCTCATAAAAAGGTAAAATAATTGCCAAAGTTATATATTATTGATAATATCGATTAGAACCTCCAAAAATCTCCTTTGGAGGGATTTTTATTCTTTGTCTATACAGCACTTTACTTAAACATTTATAGTATTGTTTTGTCTTAATACTGTTAAACATCCTTTCACAAATTGTAACAAATTTTGAACTGATTTCAATCTTTCCAGTGAATTTAAAGTTCATTTCTCAATTACAATTACTCAGCTCACTTATTAGTATACTTAGTGTTTTACAAGTAAATTTTCATCTTTTTCTTGTTTAGTACAATAATTAAAATTTTCAATTTGTTTGTACAAAGCATTCTTTTATTTAAAAGGATTAAATACTGTGACAAATTCCATTTTTGAAGTGATTTCATAAAATTTGAACAATGAATGTCTTATATAAATGAATTATAATCACACATTCAGTTAAAACATTTTAATCTTCATGGAGGTTCTTGGAGATTTTATGTCGAAATTCTATCTGCTCTATTTTTACATTGCAGTATGATTCAGTGTGTATGCCTAGCTTCACATGTCTACATTCACTCTATACTTTGCATTATAAATGCTATATAAGTAATTAATCCCTGTAATTTTTTTTTGTTCTCTTTTGATCTCTTGGATAAATACATGCAGGGAAACATGCAAGCATATAGAAAATTCATTGTTTGCAATGCGTGACTATAACCGAAATTTATAATTTGAAGCCCACCAGCCAATTTGACTTAGGTTTATGAATGCGAGATTCGTACAGATGATAATACAGGCGATACCAAAATATTTCATGTTTGAGACAAATCGTCTTTAAATGAAATATTAATGGTGTGAAGGTGGTTTAAAATGTATTTAGAGTTGCGGTGTCAGTAATGGTGAGCTTATCATGGAGACTGTAGGATAGATGTACAGTAATGAGATAATAATTGCTGACACACACAAAAATGTGAGAGGAAAGTGATATTGTGAAGATTGAACATTGAACAGATGTGTGTTGATCCAGACAAATGGTTGTTCATTTTAATCTACAAAAGTATAAGTTACTTCATACGTGCTAATTAAAATTAGTATTAAATTTTTGGCACTATTATATTAGGCGCAACAGTAGCTTACTCGTTGGTTTCGCATTTTTCCGTCGAGACGTAACCAACTTGACAGATATACGATTACATACCCATGCGATTCTGTTCATTATAACATACCGTTTCCCTGCACGTGTTTATCCAAGATTTCACGAAGATTTTTGGAGAGAGATTCTATTAATATTATATATTTCATAAATCACATACTTGTCGATATCTATGAAAAGAAAAATTTAATGAAGCTCGCGATTATCGTTTTTGTTTACCATTTATTTATGTTATTATCTTGGAACTTGGAACTCCCATTTCGCAGACACGCTTAGATTCTTCTAACTATTTTCTTACATTCGTAGTTGCATATAATAACGAAATGCGTGCTGAAACGAAAAGTGGCACAATAATTAAAATATGTTTGAGTACGACTTGCTGTGCTTACCGATATATATGCTTTTTGATCTTACTTTTCTATTTGTTTCTTCGATAATCTACGATTTGACAAAACTTCTCTTTTAACCACGATTTAGCTGCTGTTGTGACTTTTATACTGGCAAATAAAAATCTCTTGAGTGCAGGTATAGAAGTCAGTGTTGATACTGTGAGAATTTTGCCATTGGTGATATACATATAATGTCAATCCGATGCTCTTTGATCAAAATACTATCTTCTGCTTGAAAGTAGATAATAATGTGAAGGAAGAAACCGTAATATATATTAGATTATGATGTAATATTGTATACAAATCTGATCGATCAATACGGGGCGACATTATTATTTGTGAACATTTCTATAATAGGTAAAACAATTTAAATTATATATTATTATTGGATTTACTTTTCCAATTAGAAAAACGTGTGATTCAACAAATTGATTTAGAAAATCTCATGAAACGGATATAAGCATCATGTATCATGCACATGATATAAAATCTTGCGATGCACGCGAATATTGGGAAGGAAATTGTTAAGAAATTAACGGGAAACATGATGCGTGAATAAATACTAACACTATCACGTTTTCATTTCTAAAATGAAAATTGTTTATATACAAATTAGCAGCAAATTTATCAAAAGTTATATTACATCTTAATTTGCTGCATATACATTTATGTTGTTTATATAATATCTTTCTCTGATCTTTTTTCTTCAAATATGTTTACCGAATATGCGATTATTATTATATCTTTATTGATCAATTCTCAAATGCTATATATATATATATATCAAATCAAAATTTTGGCTGGCAAAGGAAAACGGTTATTTATGGTATATTTAGTGCTATGATTATAATATTATTATGATAACGTTGACACAAACAAAATTTAATAAATTATCGTAAATCGTAGCAAATATATATATATATAATATATATAATTGCTGGTTTTTCGATTTACTTTGATCTTTGAAAGCCTTTATTTTATATATGGTACGTCACATGGTAACGTCACCATCATTATCTGGCAAATTATTGTTTGTTTTTATTATCTCTCGTTGAAGCAGAACATAGTAATTTGATCATAGACTGCCCCCATTTCGGGTTGACATTATATGTACTTAATATATAAACACAAATGGGTTCGACGGAATAACTAATTTTTTCGCCACTATAATCTTCGAAACGTTCCCGTTTGCAAACTACGAAAATCTGCTTTTATTCTGTTAGCTTCTTCTATTATTCTTATTTTGCTTACAACAATTTCGAAATTTTTTTTTGGCAATCTTACAGAGACTAAGGAGGGGAAAAACTTAGTCTTATTGCGCTGTAATTGGAAACATCGATAGATCCATTTTATGGAGTCTATTTTGCGAAATGTATTTTATTCAACTTTTGAAAGAGTCAACTAGCCCGTGCTAATAAGCAAACATTAATCTTCTCATCTAAAATCTTATAGACATTTTGTAAACAATTATGAAAATTTTCTAGTCAAAATTATTTTCAAATTTAAATTCTTATTTATTTTGAAATACGATATTTAAATATATATATTTTAGAGACCTATGCAAACGAGAAAAAGAGAAAGATATTACGTTTGTTTATTAATATACATAATCTACAAAATTGCGTGCTTTACTTGACTCTTTCTAAAGAATGATGTTTATGCGAAGTGGATATATAAACTTAGAAAAAAGTGGGCTTAAAAATACAAAAAAAAAAAAAGAAGAAGAAACATTGATTAGCAATGTTACGTGAGCAGACTGAAGAATGTGGTAATTTGCCGTTCTTATATTTCATATTGCAGACGAATATCCTTTTCCAAAAAATGCTGGAAGATAAGTTAATAAATATATATGTCCGTGACACATTTTGCAACTGCCAAAGTAAATCTTTTTTACTTTGGTATTTTGTTTTATTACCACGTCTTCTCGTCTGGCCCACGAAATATCTCCAAGTGCGGTTCCAATAACTTATCTTGGATATAACAAGGAATGCCCTTGTGAAATGAAAGTAAGCGAATGTAATTCGTACGACGTAGAAATACGTATTTCGGAAGTAAATATGTTAACATCCGGGTGCATGCGAGAATTGCGGAGGACGCTCCCCGATCATCTAGGGGAGGGAGTAAATCTTATTTCTTAATATCTACGATTTAAATCGTAAAAGTGAAGGGGAACATCTTAAAAACGAGCTCTCTAATTAGAACATCGTAGATCTCGTACCTTCGTCTGAATTTATATTTCCATTGGTTAATGCGGCGAGCTGCGTGCAAGCACATTCTCAACAAACGAAATAAGAATCTATCGCATCGTGGAAACTTAAGCGGCCAGACAAACAATCTTTCCGCGTTCGAATAACATACGCAGCTCGATTTTAATGGTATTGGAATTAGATCTCCAATACATATGTGAAACACAAAAAAAACAAAAAAAAAACAAAAAAAAACAAAAAAAAAAGTATAATTCGTTTGAAATGTAAAACAATATCAGTTTATCGACTATACCCATGCTTTACCGTTTTGTTAAAGAACTTATTATTATATACTTGTGTTTATATCAAATTGCGGAACCAATTCTGGCTAAACGGAATATCTGAACAGCGTATTATATAATACCCTTTGTTATTAGTATTAATATTGCTATATTGATATTGCTATATTAACGAAATATGAACGAAGAGAATTTTCGATACTATATAACGGACATCGATTTATTTTGTGACGTTGAAATCTGAGAATTTCGGTTGTTCGTAAATACAAGCGGCGTAACATTGCGGAATTTTTCTTGTGCGGCTCTTATAATTCTCTATAACTTTTTTGCGTTTGTATTTTATAAGTGAAATAATTAAAATCGCATACGCAATTAATAAAAAAAATATATTATAATATCAAAATGATTTCGCAATGTTATGCAGTATCCAAATAACTCGCGACTCACGCGTAATTGTGCGCAAATGAAATACTCTGTATTTCTGATTTTTAATATGCATTTGTCAAGACAATTATTCTCGTTATCTGTTATCGTTTCGAAAAATATTTACAAAAGCAAAATTACAAGCTGTTTCCGTGTTCCAGCAATGTTATTGTTTTTCTTTTCCTAAATTGTAAAGATGGGTTTGCGCATGACTATATATGAAAACAATATTTTTTTTTTATTTATCTTTGTCACTCTGTTAGCTCAAACCCAGTCTAATAAATCGTATGTCAATTTTGTTTCCTAAAGGGACAAAACAGCAAAACTCGTCTGTGTCGTCCCTTAATAAAAATTCTGTTTCAGTACACGATATATCTTCTTTACGTCATAAATCCTAAAGAGTATTCGATTTAAACTTTCTCTCACGTAAAACAACACTATTTCACTGGTATTTCAATAAGATTATTAGACGGCATACAATACTAAATTCTCAGAATTGTGGTATGAATGATTTTGCTTGAAATTCCGTAATTACTAGGTTTGACGAGAATGAACATTTTAATTGACTCGTTACGAAATCTGTTTCTCGCGTTATGCAAAAAACTTTGATCTTATTATTTATTTCGAATTGTGGTGCGTATAATCGTTTGCAAAGTATTGATATCTATAATAGATATAATAATATAATTATAAAAGAGAGAATGCATATTGTCTCTCTAGACATATCTGATTTCTCTCATAAAGCTTTTGTTGATCCGTTTTCATTATATACCTATATTTCGAAACATAAACATGAATTTTGTTATAATCTGCAATATATTGTATAGGTATATCTAAGGATTATTAGAGCTAATGCACATTTTCAAGCAGATTACATAAAGTACGACGTTTATATATGGAGATACCGAGGTACTGTCCTTGTATGTATATATACGCTTCATACTGATTTATCAAGAGACGAAGTACATTAATGCATTTTCTTCTATAATCACGTTTAATAGATTTATATGGAACAAGCGTAATATTATATACAATATTTTGCTTTAAAACAAAGATATTATTTTTATATAATATTGATACCGATGTTAAAATATTGACGAAAAATTATTCCAATAGTATTGGAGTATCACAAGGAAAGCATCGAGAAGTTACAAATAGAATATTATAATATAATTTCTAGAACAACAGTAAATTGCATAAATAACACGAGTTAATTGAATATAAAGCTCGTAGCTATGCAACTTGTTAAAAAAATTATTTCAGATATATATATATATAAAATAATACATACAGGAATTCTTCAATATCGCGAAACGTTAGCAAAAATGAAATATTAATGTGGAAAGTACAATATCAAAAATGAAACATCGATACTTCAATATTATCGGATAAACACCCATAGTTCGATCGTATCAGTTAACGTAAGCTTCTCTAGCTCCTTGCGATTCTCGGGCTCTTTCAAAGGGAAGATCTGGGAAAGAAAGCAGAATTTTCGCGAACGCGAAATACGAGAGAGAAGGCGGAGAAGAAGGCATAAGAATTATGCTGTCAGACCCTTGGTGTACGATATAAATGTTGGGCTGTTATTGATTTTAAGTAGTTGCTTAAATAGCGTCGTTCGGCCGTGCTACCACACGGCATCGTCTAATGCATCATGCGCGCAAAGACGCGTTATAATCTCTCTCCCTTATCTCTGTATTAGCGTTTGCGAATCCATCCTTGTTAAGTGTAACATCGATACAGAGAAGGAAAGCTTTGCGTTTGCTTTTACCTAGTCTTATATTTTATCTATTATTTTTGCCTCTGTTTTTCATGAAGTATCAGCTGAAAATGATTTATTATCATATAAAAATCTTGAGAAAGCATGCAATTTTGTGTGTATATATGAATGTATATATGAGATGTATTTTTTCAATCTCATCACAAATCGTGAAAAGTGACGAGTGAGATTTGCTCTTACACAATCTAATAGTATAACATTTTAAATCCCACAGTGCATTTGTCAGAATCCGATGGAGCCTATACATTTTTACATGCTTGTGCAATTTGTAAAGAGTCTTTTTCTTTGTTTATTTCTTTTTAATTTTAAAGTAGAAACTTTTAAAGTATATTTGATCTTATCTTGAAAAGATTTTCCTGTGAGTAAGTCATCGTATCAATTAATATTGCATATTGAAGAATTAAATTAAAGCTCTTTTTCCTATCTATATAGAGAAGATCAAACTTTATGAAAAATACACACATCTGCGTTTTTGCGTGTCCATTTTCCAATCATATATTTTATATAATCAATAATTTAAATTACATCAATATTTTACAACTATTTTTTAAACAAACAGCAGCGCGGTCGGTCTATTTTTATAAAATACTAAATAAAATGATAGAAGAAAGCGCATTTTTATACGATTCTTTTCCGGACCAATTCCGTAAGATTTATTTTCTCGTCACTTTGAATTATCCTTTTTTTTTTCTTGAAAGGGAGAGAGAGAAAGAGGGATACTGTCGCAATTTTGCCGACAACGGACGGGCAGATATCGATTCGGACGGCCAATTAGGTCTAAGAGGTCCTCCAGGGAGAATTTGTACACGACACACTACGAGTCACTTCTCCACCTCGTTTACCATTGCCAAGGTGTCATTCTTCTCGCTGCGTAGCCAAATCTAACCGCCTCTTTCTCTCCCATCTCTCTTGTCCTCATCCGTACCCCATTTTTCTACGGTCGTGGCTCTCTCATTTTCTGAATTATTTTTCCACGAGTCGTTTGCAGGATCGAGACTCTGGAGAATGGGAAGAAAAGAGCAGAGGGGAGGAAAGAGAAAGAGGGATTTGTACGGTCGAGGTGGCATACGGTCCGTATGCCACACACATCCTACCGGCTCGAATATATAGGCGACGATAGCGGAGGAGAAAGATACAAGGATGCTGGAGAAAGAAGGCGGAATAAAGAAAGGAAGAATATTCTGACCCGTATTCTCGCCTCTAACCACTGCCACATTTAGCGCTAAGCGTGGCCATTGGAGTGTAAGCTCTACGACCCATCCGACCCATCCCTAGGATATCTGTCAATTCGGAGAGGTATGTTACCCAAGTCTGAAGATGCGAAAGAATAGGGTGTTTTCAATTCTGACAAATGATGATGAATAAAAATATCTATTTTTACGCGCATGTTGCTATTCCTGTGAAAATTCATTACCGAAAATATCTTATTGTCGCGTCTCTAAGATTGAATATAAACATAGTTCTATCGCGTCAATTCTTTCTCTTTCTAAATACCGAACGTTGAAAAGGACAGACGGACAATTGAATCACTTCGTAATCAATGTTCAAGGAATCGCCGCGCTTATTTGTATAATACGAGAATCGGAGAAGCACGCGTTTAGCGCCGAGTATGCGACCGGAATACGGGACCTTACGAGATCCCGAATCGCCTGACACGCGGACGGAATTCTACGGTGGAATTCTACGACTCTGTAGCCGGATATCGTAGTCGGGTCGACGACGGCGCCGGGCGCCAGAAACGCCGTCCTCCACCCCGTAATCTGGCAGTGCATTTAACCACTTTGCGAAATAGCCCGTATATCTCCCCGCTGTATGTGTGTGACATAGCATTCGATATGTCGAGAGTACGAGATTCGGCAGCGAGATCGGCAAAACGGGATAGAACGAGGGGGAAGGAAAGTTCCCGAGGATAAAGAGACGCAAAGCGCCGAGGCACGTTCGCGGCGAGCTCGAGGGGTGGTGGAGAGTAGTCGAGTGGCGAGTATAGCGACGACTACGATATGCGCGCGCCCCTCGTCATACCCGTTTAGGGATAGAAAGTATCCCCTCTCCCTCCTCCCGCAACCAGGGTGGGGTTTCCCCCCCCCCCCCCGACCGTTGGTAGGGGGTGGAAACGCTCCCGATTCGACTTGCCGCGGTGAGCGCACGACCACCGCCGCCGGGGGTTGGAAGTGGGGATTTGTTACAGAGAGAGTAGCCGTAGGTATATATATATAGAAAGAGAAGAAGAGAGAGAGTATATGGGGGAGAGAAGAGAGAGATATATATATAGGATAGCAACGAGAAAGAGAGAAAGCAAGATAGAGAAGGTAGATGTCGGGACGTTTGCGAACGTACGCGCACCATAGTTGCGGGGTACAAGGGGTGGTATAGACATAGACTCGAATCACGGTGGTCGTATGTGTGTGTGTTAGTGTGCATGTGTGTATATACTCGGCATATAGGGTGTCGCAAAAAATTCAAATCATTATAAGGAAGCCGTATTCTGCGTTAAGCTTCCAAAGTTGCTCTTGATGAAAATTTTATTGAGCATTATCTCTGTTTATATGTTCGAATTTTTAATGTCCAATATCATGGTAACAAGACATCGAATAAAAATTCTTTTGTCTTAAATATTTCAGTGTGTCTTAAGATTCTTAATATTTCTAAACTTAAATGATTCGGCTTTTGTTTTTAATCGTCAAACTCGTCCGATACCTTACCATCATTATTCGAGTATCTCCAGCCACCCTGTAGCGAGAACGGAAGAAGGGTGCGCCCTACTTCGCGTTGGCGTTTTCCCTCCCGAGCAACCCTGGCGTGTGCGGAAGGGGGGAGGAGGCGCGGGGATAGTAGCGGGGTACATACGTACGGACGGACGGAGGAGAGGACGACGCGAGATGAAGATACGAGGAGAGGAAAGCCGCGCGAGAGGGTGTCTCTCCGTTTCGCTGCCGGGCGTTTCGCAGTCTCGCATTTCAACAACGACGACGACGACGACGCTAAGCGTCGCTGGCGTCGCCGTAACCGTACTTTTTTTCTCCTGAGCGAGGAAACGCGCGCGCGCAAAAGCGATAGATAGAAGAAGCGACATAGGGTCGACAGGGTAAGGAAGGGTGAGAGAGAAAGAACCAAAGTGGCAGGGGGAACGGCACCCCTATCGGGGAGATCCTCGCGAACCCTCGTACGTTGGCCCCCGTGCAACGAGAACAGCGTTACGCTCGAGCGATAGCACGACGGGGTATCTCGTGAAAATTCGGGTGTCAGCGGTGTCTCCGTAGCAGCGACGACGATCGGTGATGTGAGTGGTGGCGGTGGTGGCCGGTGGTAGCGGCGGCGGTGGTGGTGGTGGTGGTGCTGCCGCTGGTAGTAGTAGTGGTGCGGTTACAGTCGATACGAGACGTGGCAAAGGCGTCGAGGAGCTTCTCGTCGGGGACGACGCGCGAGTGGTGCATATTGATAGACATAGATTTACGTAAGAACAACGACGACAACGACCTGCCTGTCTGTCTAGTAGTGACGTCGTATGAACTAGTCGCGTATGCGCACGTGTGATATCACCAATGGATACTTGATACAGTGGTTGATCGAAAATCCGAGGGGACATCTTCGGGACGCTGTTTGGGCTCGCCGAACGGAGTGCGCTGCTCGAAGCGAGAGTGAAAGAATGCAAAGTGAATGTATGTAGTCACTAAAGGGATGCTAGAAAAGGAATCACGAATGGACGAGACGGATTCGTTCAACTTCGCTCCCTCTCGTGATTCGCCACGCTGCGCAGCAAGGATTCCGGAGAATGGTGTGGATTCGTATAAGCTTCGAGGCGCGCAAGATGTATGAAAGGAACGTTAGCCAGTGAAAGGAGAATCGAATGTAAAAAATAGAAAACGATAGGAAATAAAGGAAGAGACGAGAGAAAGAGATACAAGTGCGACGAAACGTGAGAACGCGGAAAAGAGGAAAAGGATGGGCATAAGATCGGTCCCGAGAGCCTTTCCCGTGCGGACGAAGACACTTCTCGGCTGTTGTTGAGGTGACGCGTGCGAGTCCCAAGTCGGGACTCATCGGGAAAGCAGGTGTCGCGATAGGAAGAGAGAAAAGAGTCCAATTGCGATACGCCGTTGTTCGCTACGACAACGACGACGACGACGAAGACAATAACGATCCATCAGAGCGGGAAGCGCACGGTGGAGTGCGTGGATCGCTCCCTGACCAGTATACCGGACGGAATCGATCCGGAGACCCAGGTGCTGGACATGAGCGGCAACGAAATCCGTCTCCTGCCGAGCAACCTCTTTGTACAGGTACAGCTGACGAATCTGCAGCGTCTCTACTTGCGTGAATGCCGTATCGACCGGATCGACAGCGAGGCACTGGCCGGCCTCACGAATCTCGTCGAGCTCGATCTCAGCCACAATTTACTCACTGCGGTGCCCAGTTCGAGTTTCACCGATACGCCGTTTTTGCGCGACCTGGTGCTCGCGAATAATCCGTTCGACAAAATTCGCTTCCACGCGTTCAAGAGCACGCCGAATTTAGTTAAGCTCGATTTGTCGCACACGCAGCTCGTTGAAATCGAACCGAAAGGATTCGTTGGACTCGAGCTGCTTGAGAGTCTCAAGCTCAACAACAATCGATTGTTTACCTTACATCCGGGCACATTCGAGCCGCTCAAGAAACTCACTAGCATCGAGTTGCACGATAACCCGTGGACCTGCGACTGCCACTTGCGTGAGATGAAAATGTGGCTCGTCAAGCATAACGTGCCGACCCTCGTGGCGCCTGTATGCAAAGGCCCTCAACAGTTGCTCGATCGTGCCTTCACCGACCTCGATATAGACGACTTCGCCTGCCGGCCGGTTCTGTTAATAGCCAGCCGTTACGCCGAGGCGACCATCGGCGAGAATGCCAGTATCGAGTGCCGCGTGAGCGCGATACCACCTGCGAAGGTCAAGTGGTATTGGAACGGCCGGTTGCTGGCGAATCACTCGGCA